ATACGTGAATGAAGTTTGCTCCAATTGATCTAAGGGCTACTTAGGAGCTACCTAGTGCTAGATTTGACAAGTGTGCACCACACCTAACCCACTAGACTCACCTAGGTCAAGCTACCCGTCCATACCCCCTTTAATAGTATGGCCAAAGGAAAAACAAAGTCCTAAACTACTCTAAGTGTCTCCTCAACACCAAACGACACTTAGAACTAGTCCATCCTTAACCTTGTCGTTCATCCTTTGAAAACCGAAATGATTTTCATCGTAGGGACATGACAATCATGATTGCTCAATCAATTGTCATTACCATGACCTAACTTAATTGTATCTGCAAAACACACGTTAGTCACAGTAATCTCGTATTGTCATTAATCATCGAAACCCAACTAGGGGCCTAGATGCTTTCACAATGCATCATGAAGTGTGCAAGACTATCTCTTGAGTCTATGATAGTCTCTTGCTTTTTACACTAATTATGGATTATTGATTCAACTAGCTATAAACTAGACTATTGGAGATGCTCTAATGGCAATTACCAGTGATCAATGATAACTGGTAATTTTGCCCAAGGAGTTCATGAAAGGCAGAACCATAGGCGGTGGAAGGACGGAGGCCATCGCTGAATGTAGATAGTGATGGATGTTTGTGGCGGTAGGGATGACAGGGATGCAAACTTGCAGAGGAAGAAAGAAAGGGAGGTGAAAGATTACTTGGGTTCAAACTAGTGTTGAGGCGCACAAGAGGGCCGACCTTGAAGTGGCCTTAACTTAGGACTTATTTGATGCAGGCTTATTTTGTAGCTCTAATCCATGGAAACATAGGATTAATTTTGTAGTCAAGCCTCTAACTAGTTGTTATTGAACTAGCTGGCTGATCCTAGCTAATTCTAGTTAATTTTTAGTCCTAGCTAATAACTAGTGCTAACCGATCCAAAAAAACGTTAGGGTTTGTTTTGGGATGACACAAACATGGTCTCACTTCACACCATACGTCCATGTCTCTCCTCCTGATTTTGGTCATGATTCATGAATCAAAGGGGTGTTTGTGGCATAAAAGGTGACTCCTCCATTATGACATCCGCCCTCTTCATAAGTAATGTTAGCTGATTTATTGTGAGAGAAAAATATTGTTTGTTCGCTGAAAAAATATGCAGCATGTTCGGTTGGCTGGTTCGTATCGTTGCTAGTTCGTTTATGTGAGAGAGAAGTACTGCTGACTAGTTCATTAAAACGGTATCCATGTGAGGGGGCTAGCCAGCCAACCAGCCAGCCAACTCCAACCGAACACGATGATGAACTATAAGCCATACGAACAGGATGATTATTATCTCGTCAATCTCGTCCACTCAGTCCCCTATGCTTGAGAAAATTAGCAGCTTTTTTGTCCGCTCAATCCTGTGTCATTCACGGACTGGTACGATTGGTTACCTCTCCGGTCTCCATGTGGCAGCGTGTGGGCGTGTGGCTAATCGTTGGCCACAGCTCCTTCACCTGGAAACCTCATCCTCATCCTCGGCTGCAGAGAGACACGACGACGTCCATGAGAGAGCGAGCTGAGAGATGCCTTGTACTATCTCATCATCATCATCATCATCTATACTGTACTACGAACGAGTATAATTTCCCTTCCTTAGCTTGGAACAAATCCATGTTATTTGTTGCTGATCGATTGATGGACAACAAGTTGACAGGTAGGCGGAGGCGGAGGCGGAGGCGGGCAGGGCACCGTCGGCGAGCTCAGCATCTGAAAAGGACGCCGCCGTCGCCGTCGGATGGGTCGGCACCTCCCACCCCGGACCCGGAGCCCGGACTACAGATACACATGCACTTGCAGTGCAGTGCTACAGAGGGAATCCTCGGCCTCCACACGGGTTCCCTGTTCCAGGAGGGCCGGGCCAGCGCCAACGACGGCGACGCCACCAACCCCAGGCCCCATCTCCATCTGACACCTGTGGCTTGCCTTTGCCTGCCTCTGCCTTGGATTGGATCATGAATACCCTTCGCCTTCAATTCCACTGTTTGTATAGGCTACAACTTGTGGTCCGTGCTGGAATACAAGTATCTTCCGCTGCCATGACCGAGTTGTCTTCGATACAGACTGACGGTTACGGTTTGATGATAACTGCGTCAGGTCAATGCTATAACTGTGTCCTTGCGCGGCGCTAGATTTAAATTTGAACCGGCTATTTTCTCCGAGCCATGGCGCCAAAACTTTGTGCTCCTGATGAGCGCGACTCACAAAAATGATAGAAATTTAGATCGCAATCTTAGACATAATGGACCAACCATAGAAGGAAAAGGGGAAAAGGCCAAAGCCAATGCCTCCAGTGTGTGACAAGCTTTGTAGATGTTTTCTTTTTTTTTCTTCATTTTGCTGCAATTGGCCCTAAAACCGGAACTATGTTACGGGAACCAATATGTTTCCTAAACAAGACATGCAAAAATATTTTCGGACTGCACTTGTCAAAAACACTATCATTTCTAGTGAGCCATAAGGACCAAAACCTCCCTTGCTAGTAATGAAGCAGCTGCTACCTTTAGTTTAGTAATAGACTAAGATTCATTTTTTAACCTTATGTTCAATTTTCAACCTTAAACTAGAAAACTGAGTACTAGATATCCTCCAATTGCCCAAGCGCAGAAGTTTGGTCATTCAGCTAGCTTCAAAAGGTGGTTTTATATCTCTAACCCATCTACAGACATGCCTTCCTGCTTTTATTACTTACATAACCAGGAGCTGCTATCTTGACCTAATAGGGTAACATCTATTTTTAACTTTATGCCCGACTTTCAATCTTGAACTATGAAGCTGAGCACTAGAGACCCTCCAACAATTGAACCGAACAAATTTGTTCATCCGACTAATTTCAATGACGGTTTTCTATTTTCCAAAAACTATAAATTCTAGTTTAATCTATAATGTTCATAACTATTTTTAAAATTAGAAAAAAATAAAACAACGACTTATTTTGGAAAATAGAAATGGTACCAGATGTTTATTATTTTTGAAAATTTTGTCTAGCTTCTACGGTTGGAGGGCTTCTGGTACCTGGTTTCATAATTCAGTGTTCAAAACCGGAATGCCATGCAAGTAGGAGATTACGAAATAGATGTGCAAGTAGATTACAAAATAGACTTAAGTTAATTAATAAGATATGCTAATAATCCCAGCTAGCACAAAGTTTCATTTATGGTGCACACTTATATATAACTATGCAAATGCTTGCACACGGTCGTCCGTCCCGACGCGTGCCTTCCTAGGTCTGTGCAGTGGACAGGCCCAACAACATCTCTAAGTCTCTTCCATCTCTGAAGATTTCCCCACTCGCACTAGCACATCGGTATCGCGGCGTCACCGCGCATATGCTCGCCCCACTCCTCCCCTGCCGCACCCCTTCCCCCACAGCGCGCCCGTCCCCCGCTGCGCCGTGCCCTTCGCCCACCACACCGCACCCCATAGCCGGCCGTGCTGTGCCCCATCTCTTGCGAGTGGACGGCAATGGACGACTACAGCCGAGCAGCAGCGGCGCTGGAGAAGCCACGCCAACGGGCGCGAGCTTGGACAATGGGCAGGCGCAAGAGAAATCGTCGGAGGAGCGACGTGCCGACGTCCTGCAATGGAGGTGTATGCTGAGTTGACGTCCCCTGACCCGAGCTTGCTGGATACCATAGTTCACCACCAGGTAGGCCGTGGTTGCCGGCGACGCCGTGTTTCAAGTGTTTAAGGTGTTCTAGACTTATGTTTCAAGTGTTTGGATATTGCAAAAGTATATATATAGATGTTGCATATATTGCAATGACAATATACGCATGTTGCAAGCGTATGTTTTCAAGTGTTTCAGACGTATGTTTCAAGTGTTTTATTTGGATGTTGCAAAACTATATCTGGGTGTTGCATATATATGCATGTTGCAAGTCTATGTTTCAAGTGTTTTAAGTTTTCAGACGTATATTGCTAATGTTTCATCTGGATGTTTCAAAAGTATATCTTGGTGTTGCACATGTTGCAAATGGCTATACACACATGTTTCAATTGCATGTTTTTAATGCTTCATTTGTCTCGTAAATATTTCATTTGTATGTTTAAAAAGTAAATCGGGTGTTGCACATGTTGCGATGGCGCCAGTGGGTGGCAGACAGCAACCAGCCGCAGGACTTCGCTCTCCTACCTCGCGACTTCCTCGCGCAGCGCGCCTCGCCTTCTCCTCTCCTCTCCCTTCCCTCCCTTCTCTTCCCTCCATCTTGCCGTGGCAGTAAGAGCTCGGCAGACGAGCGTGCGGAGTCACGGATATCGAGTAGGCACAGCAGCAGGCGCAGGGCAGATGGGCAGGCGTAGCATGCATGAGCAGGCGCAGGAGGCAGGCCTGGCGCCGGCGTCCGGACGAGGCTAGCGTCCAGACATCCGGGCGCTAGCCATGCCGATATAAATATGGCCGTGGTAGTTAACTGCAAGCGAGTGGGATGGATCAACTGCAGCACGTGTGTGATGACGATATACCGCCATATTTGTGATATATGATACTAAATACAAAGCTCAACGAAAATGGTGAACACAAAACGAAGCCCCACTTCATCACAAGAAACTAAGCACATCACAATCTCTCTGTTAATCTCACCACAAGATCAAACCAAACCATACATATTTATATCTGCATCTCCTTCACACAAAATTACTAGCAGCAAGGCAAAGAATATGTACCAACAAGCACGAAATCCTTTTCCTTCTCCATTAATTTGATTTTGACATGGTAGAAGACACCTCTCGTTTCCAAACCAGGCCAACCGACCGTTTCTCCCCGGCCCATCGACTACCCGTATCAGATCACCACACACTTCAATCCTCCTCAAAATTCATCCTAGCTAGTAACCATACGGATACCGTATGTTGCACACGTATATGTACACACTCTCCTACAGTACGTGTGCGCGGCACATTCTTGCACGCACACGCGCGCGACCTCATGCAGTGCAGCTAGCGATCGACCAGTAGCTTCTTCGTCGTGCTCATGCAGCTGCCACACCCTTCATCTCCGGTGCCCACGCTTGCACCGGCGACGGCAGCTGTGCTGTGCGGGGCCGGGGCATCCATGCTTCCGACTCCCGCAGTGCCGCCATAAATGGAGCCGTTGTTGCCTCCACCGCCGGCGGCTCCAGCGCGCGCTCCTCCGACAGGCGCCACACCTTGACCGATCCGTCCAGGCTGCCGCTGTACACCACGAACCGGCGCTCGCCGTCCGCGTCGTAGCAGTCGTCGTCGTCCGCCGCCACCGCGACGCACTTGACGGGCCCCGTGTGCCCCGCGAGCACGGCGAGGCGGGCGTGGCGGCCCGGGTGCTCGTCGTCGTCGTCGCGCCGCCACACGCAGAGCGTCCCGTCGGCGGAGCCGCTCACGACGACGCGCCTGGACACGGCGAGGCACAACACGCCCGTCCCGTGGCCCGCCAGCACTCCCGCGAGCCTCGGCGGCTCGCTGCCGTCCACGTCGTCCAGCCCCCACCGCCAGCACGTGACCAGCCCGTCGGAGGAGCCCACGTACACGGCGCGGGCCTCGGGGCACGCCGCGATCGCGGTCACCGCGCCGTCGCCGCCCTCCCGGAGCACCCTCTCCAGGACGTGCTTCGTCCGGTCGCTCGCCGCCGCCACCTCCCGCCTCCACACCTTGACGGTCCCATCGGCGGAGCCGGTGAGCACGAGGCCGCCGAACCCGGCCGCGGCGACCGTGTTGACGGCGTCGTCGTGCGCGGGCACGGACTCGAGGCAGCGGTAGTCGGAGACGCGCCACGCCTTGAAGGTGCGGTCCCAGGACGCCGAGTAGAGCAGGCCGGCGCCCTCGTCGAGGCTGAGGGACGACACGGCGTCCGAGTGGCGGAGCCACACCGCCGCGCGGCGCCGCCCGCCCCCCTCCGCGCCGCGAGGCGAGCGGACGTAGCTGGACGGGTTGACGGAGCTGATCAGGAGGTCGCCGAGCGGCGGGAGCGAGCCCACGCGGCGGTGCACGACGGCGGGGTCGCCACCGGCGTCGCCGTCGGCGCGCCACACCCGGACCTTGCCGTCCTGGTGGCCCGTGAAGATGCGGCCGTCGGCGGCGACGACGATGGTCTTGACGAGCCCGCTGCCGGTCCGGAACCCCGCGAGATCGCGCCGGTCCCGCCACATCCGCACGGTCTCCGAGTCCGTGCCGGTGTACAGCACGTCCCCGGTTGCCGCCAGCGAGTACACCTTGCCGTCCTCCTTGACGAGCGACGCGATGAGCCCGGTCGCCGTCGCGTCGTCGGAGCTAGCGTCGTCGGCGCCGAGGCCCGGGAGGCGCGCCCACGGCGACTTGGGCGGGCTGTACGACCGCGACGGCGAGGACGACGCGGAGCCTTGGAAGGAGGAGGAGCTGTAGCCGTCGTCGTCGGAGAAGGAGGAGTTGGAGTTGGAGGAGAAGAAGGACCGAGGGGAGGAGAGAGCGGAGACCGCCGCCGCTGGGTCGACGCGGAGGAAGTGCATGAGCTTCTTGCGGTTGCCCATGGTTGGAATGGTGGGTCGGTTCGTGTAGACGCGTGGTACTTGTGTGTGCTGCTCTCTGCGCTTGGCGCGCCCGATCGAGGAGGAAAGAGATCTCTTTAATGGCGCGCTAGCTGGATCGCGCAGCTAGCTACCGAAGCCGAACTGCCGAAAGGGAGAGGAGTAAGGAGCAGAGCGTAGGAGGCATGAGTAGTAGCTAGCTTGCGAGGTTGGAGAAGGGGGCGCGCGAGCAGTGGCCGCATATATACTGCATGCCGGCGGGTCGCAGAGAGGAGGAGGAGGGAGGCCACGACGGCGGGACAGGTGGCGGTGCCGCGCGTGATAGAAGTAATTTTTCCCCTTTTCCCATCGATTTATCGAAATAGAGTATTTTCCCCGGGAAGGGATCTTTGGATTTTATTCTGTTTTTGTTTCGTTTCCCCTGGAAAAAGGAGGAGGTGTTTGATTACCGAGCCGGGGGCACGTGGCTGGTGGCGGTAGGGCGCGCGACCGTGCCGGCACGTACGGTGCGGGGCTGCCGGGTGCCCCCGTCCAGCATGGGTCGTTTCATTTCAGTTCGTGACAGGTTTGGAAGGTCCGGCGCGCACAAATATCCATGTCCGATTGTGCACCGTGGTACGACGTCCTCCGCCTCGTAGGTATAGATGGTAGAAAGCACGAGGAACGTGGGCCAATCCACAGCCCGTTGTTTCTCCTCCAACTAAAAAGAACAAAAATAAGATTATTTTTTGTGCGACTTTTTTTTGAGTCGTCCCCACTTCCGACCATGCGATACCCCACGCGATAGAAAAAGAAACCGCCATCTCTGCGATCCCGCCTGCTTTGAAGAAAACAAATCGATCACCTGAGGCCACATGCATGGAAAGAAACAATAATCATGCATGGAAGGAAACAATTGGCAAATATCAAGCAAGACGACTCAACGAGGTTGGCCCTTAATTTTAGTGTTTTCAGCATGCAGACCTGAAATTAAAAAGTGACTGCTCCTTGAGAATATTAGTGGTGCCAAATAAAAGATGTGCAGGTTATACATGGTAAGACTAGTGAACCTTCTGTAATTTCTTAAACGAATATTTCCACCATTCGTATATAGGTCCATTCCCCTGCGTTTCTTCGTGCTCCAATTAGCATATAATATGAAAGTATTGTTGTGTTCATCACGACTTCCAGTTGACTACTCCCATTAGCATATACTTCCTCTGCCCCAAAATATAAGTTGTTATGGGATGTGTGCAGGTCAAACTTTCTCAACTTTGACTAGGTTTGTAAAAAATACGTGCAACATTTATATCTCCAAATAAGTTCATTATAAAAATATATTCAATGGTCTATGTAATGATACTAATTATGTATTATAAATATTAATATTTCTTTATATATAATTGGTCGAACTTAAAAAAGTTGACTTCTCGAGGCGAGAATGAATTCTATTTTGGGACAGAGAGAGTATATGAAAGCAGTGTTGAAAATATTTTAACAATCAAGTTCGTCTCTGTCTGATTGGTAAGCTTAGACATCATAATGGTATAAAAAATTTCGACTCTCATGGACACCCTCATAGATCAGTGCAAAGCATCCTAATCCTACATCATACACAAATGGCAACTTTAAAGTTATGATATTTTCAAAGGGTGGACAATAAAGATCATCTTAAACGTTCTGGCAATAGAGTATATACGTGCAGACATATAGGTATGGTGGTGCAAGTGAGCAGCCAACAGGAGTCGAGAGTTAGGGGGTGTTTGGATCCCAGGACTAAACTTTAGTCCCTGTCACATTGACTTTTTAGATATCAATTATGAGGACTAAACATGAGCTAATTATAAAACTAATTACATAAGTTGTGGCTAATTCGCTTGCGAGCGCCGTGTATAGGATGGTATGGAGATGTGGTGGAACTTATTTGTGGATTTGTTGGCGCACGAAAGAAATGGATATCGGAAATCTCTTCCTTTCGGTATAAAAAATGATCTTAACCGCATCACGGAAAGATCCACACAGTAGAGTTTGCGAGCCTGCGACGCCACGCTCTCTGTGACCGTGTAAATTTCACGAACTTACCTTTTTGATTAAATGTCATTTTAACGCCGGTCATATACTTTTACAGTATTGTTATCTTATCGTGCGATCCGTGTGTTTTTAGTACAAAAGTTTAGCTGTCCTGTAGCAACGCATGGGCACGAACCTATTTACATATAAACTCGAACCTGTGTGTACATGATTATATGAAGATGCAGTGGAACTTATTCATAGATTTATTGACGCATGAAAGAAATAGATATCGTAGAATTCTTTCTGCCGATATAAAATATTATCTTAGCCGTATCATAAAAAAGTCTATACAGTAGAGTTTGTGAGCCTGCGACGTCGCGCTCTCCATGACTGTGTTAATTTCACGAACTTTATTTTTTTGAATTAAATGTCATTTTGACGTCGGTATTTAATTTAACAGTATTGTTATCTTATCGTGCGATCCGTGTGTTTTTAGTACAAAAGATTTAGTTATCTCGTAGCAACGCACATGCATGCTACCTAGTTGGCTCTAAATTTAAGCGTATATATCGTAAATAATAAGTATAAAAATTTAGCTATACACAAACCGATGTCTCACACACTTAAATTAAGAAAGGACATAGTATTCCATAATTTATTTAAGTCATCGTATATCAGAGTTTATAAAGAAACATATTATGAGAGCCATAAATAGTTTATAAGACAATCATTCATTATCATTGTTAAAAGTAGCAATATTGTTATTCGCATGGTCACTTAAACAATTTACTAAATGAACTAGAATTATTAATTTGTTGCATAGCATACCATGCTATTGCAACTGCTACGAAGAATTCCAGAGTAATAAACTCAAATAGCAGCCGCTTAGTTATAACCTGCTAAATCCAATCCCTTACGTCGTAGCGGTAGCAACGCTACCGCTGTTGCGGCCGCTACGCTACTACCGCTATTTAGTACACGTTGTTTGTGTCATACCACAAATTTTCTCATAATATTTCCACGATTTTGCATGGACGTTGCAGTGTATACCGCGAGTACAATACCCGTACGGGTTTACGGCACGTACGTCCCTCATCGTGCAGAGGTACTTCAGCGTATGTTCGACACGTTGCGTGTAGACGTACCTACCACGACGTCACTCTGTTGTCGTACCCCAAGACTACAAGTGCAATGCTTTTCATGTGTGTCCATCATCTTTAAAAAGTCATGTATTCGTAGTAAATGGTAAGACAGGGGGCCACAAAAGCAAGATAGGTAGTGTAGATATGCTCTATCCGTTACAGGGGATGCAAACGAAGTCTTCGTTTCAACTGACAAGTGAGGAAAAAAAAAAGAGCCACTTCAACAAGTGCTATAAATATACCCACGTCTCATGTTATTGTTACAGAGTAATGCATCCAAATAACACTGTGGCACTAAGCTCAAACAAATGCACGTTTCCTATTACTTGCTCAGTCAGTCTTTAAGTCATTTTATATTTAACTAAATTTATTAAAAATAATATTTTTGATACCAAATAAGCATATTTTATATGTCATGATGTATCTAATAACATTAATTTAGGGCCATAATTCTTAGAGTTCTTTTTTAATATAATTTTAGCTACTTTTTTAATAAATGACTTAAAGCAGTTCTAGAAATTGATCTATTTAGAATGGAAGGAGTATATATACATTGGCTGAGACTGGATGTGTTTGGCATGGAATCGGTTTCTCGAAGAAACATTTTACATGATTCGAGTTGTTAAGTGAAATGTGTGTGTGTGTTTTTTTTGGTGGTTTCTGATTCTCAGGTGAATCCAAGAAACATTCCTCGCTCTTGTCTATAAATTACAAAATCACCAGCAGTGGATCCTCCTATTTCTCTCATGGTGAAACAATTTCTGCAGGGACACTGTTTTAAGGATCCCTACCAAAACACACCATTGAATTGCAGGTCGCTTCCTGTTAAGTACACCCTGTATATATAGGAAAAACGTATAAGTAACCATTCTAGAATATGTATGTTTTTTTTAACTTTTCATCAGGAATATTCTGGTGATTTCTCTGCCAAGATTTTTTTTTTGCAAAATGGAATTGAAAACGATGACCCATCATGGAGCCAGTGACACACAAATTATGAGCAAAATGGGGCCGTTCGGCCGGTGCAAAAACTGCACTGTTTATGGCTGAAAGTTACTGTTCACGGTTGATTTCTCTCATAAATTTCTCCAGATTCCTCCCAGCGAACGGGGCCAATGATTACTATCGGATACACACAACACAACGATGGCGACCAAAAACAAGGGGATTGAACAAATGTAGGGAATATCTAAGGCCGGACGAAAAACTCGAAACTTGTTAGGTCGCTCGGCTCGTTATGATAATGAGCCGAGCCGAGCCAAGATTTTAGCTTATTAACTATAACGAGCTAACTCGAGCCAGCTCGCGAGCCAAACGAGCCACGCTTCAAAGAAAAAACTATAGTATAAGCTATGGATGTATGATGTAATAATATAGTATATTATTATACTTGTATATATGTTAGCACATATAAATATTTTGTTCGATTTAAGGCTGTTGGATGTGTTACTTTTGTATTATTACTATTCTCAAGCTTTAGATAAATGCAATTATTATATTTTATGTACTTTTTACACTTGACTCGTGAGCTTAACGAGCCAGCTCGAGCTCGTAAACGAGTCGAGCCGAGCTGGCCTTCTGGCTCGTTAAGATAATGAGCGAGCTACTCGTTATCTTAATGAGCCAGAACGAGCCGAGCCGAGCTGGCTCAGTTTTAGGAACATCTTTAATTTGGTTGACAGCATGCACAAGCTAGCCTTGATCTGGCTCATCAATTCAAACATTCTGACACACGGAAGCCTTAACTTATTTGATTTGCATTGAGCCTTTTTGCCCAATATAGTTCGGGCAAAGCATTGCGGCACAAGTGGCCGCCCGGCCTCTAATTAGCGTGTTCTGGCTCTCAAAAATGGGTGTGCGTGTCAGCGT